CAAGCTATATGAGTGGTTGAATGTGAAGCTGATGATGTGCCCTGTAAACTTTCACTCAATCCAAAATAAAAACATTTAATTAAAAAAAAAAAAAAGTGGAGGTCTAAGAGCTAGTACCACATATAGCCCAGCTGGCCACCTGCCTGGAGGGTAGAAATCTACTGGAGGGCAAACGAGGAGGCGGCTCAAGCCCATCATGACCATCAGCTGAAGGAAGGCCCGTGTTAGCTCGTCAGAGCCCAGCTGTGCCGAGTTAGTTCTGACTGTGATGACCCCCGCCTCATGTGTACAGAGTAGACATGGTGCTCCTGGGGGTCTTCAGGGCCGTGCCCTTTCTGAAGCAAACCACCAGGCCCTTCTCCCGAGGATGCATATTTTGGTTAGTAGTTAAGCACTTAATTACATGTGCTACATGTACCTGGAAAATTCTACACACAGGTTATCTGTGGCTCCCTGTCTCTGTTACTGAAGGTACGGACTTTACTTACACTTATAGAACTGCTGAGCTGTTTCACCTTCTGCTCGAGTTGTTCTCGCTCTTGTTTTAAATCTGAACTCCATTTAAGTAACTTCTGTTTCTCTTCTTCTTTTGCTGAAAAAAAGAACAGAAATGGTTTTTAGCAATCTCTTGGAAGGACCACTGATCTTATGCAAGAAGATATTTTCCCCAAAATCTCCAGTGTCTGCAATACACTCCCCTTTTTACCCCCTAACCCAGGTGCTCCCTTTCTAGAAGCATTGTTGTTGTTATGTGCTGTGGAGTCAGTTCCGACTCATAGTGACCCTGTACAGGGTTTCCGAGGCTGTAAATCTTTATGGGAGCAGAAAGCTTCATCTTTCTCCCGCAGAACAGCTGGTAGTTTCGAACTGCTGACCTTGCGGGTCACAGCCCAATTTGTAACCACTATGCCACCAGAGTTCTAGAAGCATAGGTGTACTAAAAAAACCCCTCAGTGGTCAGGGTCTGGCTTGAAGCTCTACTCAGCACCCCTCCCCCACTCCCCAAACCCCACCCCCTCAGAGTACTGAAGGAGTGGCCACTTGAAATTTCCATTTGAAAACTAAACAAGGATCTCCTTCCAGCACTTTTTCAAAAACAAAAGGAGGCTTACAAAAAAAGGAGCATAGGTAATTCTTTACCTGCTTTGTAGGCAATATAGGAATGAACAATTGCTAAAGTTCCTGGCCATGGAATTGCTTCTTCTTTCTTCAGCATCTGAAAAGATTTTAGAATTTTATCTTGACATCTCCCTCAAGAACACAGTAGCAACAAACACACAACAAGGACTTAGGTAGCTGTGCTGCAGAAGCTGGTCTACTTTCTGGACTACAAAGTTCCAGATATCAGCCTGGGAGAAGAAGACTCAAAGGAAAAGTCCAGCCACTTGAACCTATGCTTAGAAGAGGCTGGGAGGGGTCTGAGCATCCCCAGGCAGTTCACTTGATGGGCTCACATATGTCACATGACCCTAACCCCTCACGTGAGGGCAGCAGCCACTGGCATTTCTCCCTGATCTGATGGGGGCTGCCAGTCTCAACTGAAGCTTTGTATGTTCCTCAGAGACAGCCTGACCAAGGCAGTGAAGTCTCAGTTCCAATACCAACATATACCAAACCCTGACTAGAAAACTGTCAGAGAGTCACACAGCAGCAGGAGGAAGTAAACGGAGACTGCAAGAGGACAACCCAGCATTCTCTCCAGTTTGGATTCCTCAGCAGTGAGCTTCTGGGCTGATTTATTGATTTTTTTTTTTTTTTTAAAACAGTTTGTCTACTTCCCAGAAGACTTGAAAGAGCATATGATAAAAACATACAGATATCTGAACAGCTGAGAAAATTAGATCAGAAACCCAGAAGAGAAGGCTGGAAACTGCTAGGGAAGCATCAATCAGCATTTGGCAGTTAGCTCTTCTATGAGCCTGATGCCAACAGGGGTTAAGCATGAAACAGCTGTCACTTCAACTAAACAACAAATTCAGCACGTTCCTTTAAGGATTCCCAAATTAAGAGTATCAAGGCCATATCTTTGGTTTGGACCATTTTTAGAAAACGAGGCAAAAAGTTTTATGGACTTTTCAGGATCAAAAAAAGGAGGAAAGTCTTTTCAAATAAAAGGAAGCAGTTAAGAGCTCTCTCCACCGGAATGTGGAGTCACTGCCTCATGAGTAGGATGAAGAACACTGTGAGAGTGAGAACAGGGCAGAGGTGGCCCGGAGAAGAACCCCAGGAGACAGAAGAGACGCGGCTACCTGCCTAGAGTACAGGGGTCGAATGCCAGCTGACCACTCTTTCCTTCTCTTCAGCCCCTCCCTGTGTCTGACCCACAGTACCTGGTCCTGACACCTGGGACAGATCCACATGCCCTTGGGAATCGTTTTCAGAGGAGGCTCTAAGCAGTCCAGGTGATACACACGGGAGCACGTGTCACACATGAGCAGCTGGCCGCTTTTCCTGCAAACGCTGCAAAAGTCCTCATGGATATCACCCTATGAAATGGAGATGAAAGGTAAGAAAAAGGACAAACAATTAAAGCTTCAGCACTGACATGCACATAAATGTCTGCAGCCCCTCAGATGCCATCGCAAGAAAAGCTGGGATTACCAAGGGCACAAGCCCTGCCCACTTCACACAACCACATTCCCTGAGTGGGGACAGTGTTCTTAACTTACAGAGTTCACAGAAAGCTCTGCAGTCATGTAGGAAACATGTGAACTTTATTAGGTGGAGCTCAGCAATTAGGCTATTTTGGTAGAGCTCATTTCACAAATCGCAAAGTGCAAAGACACTGAAATCCATTCCCCAAAACCATTTCACAATGTGATTAAATGCTCATTATTTATCATTTTAGGGGGAGTTTAGAAGGACTGGGAAAGAAGACAGGTTAAGAAATGAAGTTTGAGAGACCTCCAGCAATATGGTACACTAGGCAGACACACTATACACGGACCCTCTACAACAAAGATACAGACACAGGTGAGAATCCTGGAACCCTGAACTTGAGAGGAAAGTTTAGAGAAGTGGAGCGCTTGCTGGCAGGAGATGCTGAGCAGGGATGGTGAGAGAGGGAGACTGACAGTTGGTCAGACACAGCATGTCCATCCTGAATTTTTATGAGCACATCTGGAGACAGAAGGTGGCCTGGCAGAGCAAATTTACACAGGTTACAGGAAAGATGAGATTCCTTCTTTTTATCCACACTCTGCTGGTGACCAGAGGTGTGACCAGCTCCAACCGTCATCACCCCCAGAACAGACGCTGCTCTCTGGGAGTTGAGTCATATGGTTGTGAGCCATGCTGTATGAGGCAGGGGCTGGTTGCGTCACTTTGGTGCCTGGATTCAGGCGGGTCAGCTCTAGGCCTACAAAACTCTCAGAACCAGTTACACTATCCCTAGCTGCCCTGTGGCCCTAAAAGACACTGAAATCAGCTCCATCAAGGGCCTCCACCAACTGCTTTTGGACTGAGTACCTTCAACACATCTAACATCTAGGCCTATAGGAACGTGATCTAAGGCCAGGAGCACGCTGCCAATCCCTCCTGTACCCACCTCATGAACTCCTTGGCTGGCAGGAGCCCCTCAGAGTTTTCTCTCTTGGGTCAACAGCTGCACTAGTGACTTTGATTTTGTTTTTTTCCTTTCATTGTTTTTATTTGTTTAGTCTTTCTTCTTTCCTTCCAATCCCTTGAATTTGATCCTATCTCCGCTTTTATGTTTCCTTCTTTTCTTGTTTCTCATTCCCCTCTTCTTCTACTTCTTCTTTTTGATCTTTCTTAACTACTCTCTACTCTCCTTTCATCTTCCTTCTCCCTGGTTTTTCTAAGTGTTTTTGTTTTGTTTTTAAATTTCTTCCTTTTAATTTATCTCTTATTTTTTCCCCTCGATAGCTCCATTTTCCCATCCCTCTTTTTATTTATTCTCCTCGTTTTGTTTTTTTTTTCTGGTTTCTACCAGTTTTCACTGATTTTTTCTCTTTTCATTGTTGGTTCCTTGTTTGTTTATTCTGTTTTATTTCCTGTGTGTGTGTGGGCGTGCTTTTTTCCTTTTTACATCCCCAAAAGAGACAGCAATTGTGCCCAAAGAGTCCAGCCACAACATTATATCCCCTGCAGCTCCATCCACTGAGCAAGAGCTGATACCACCTAAACAAAGGTAGACAGCAGACAACAGCAGCCACACCCACCCTAAATCAAGCACATGAAAGGTGTACATATCCCCATTCTCTAACTACACCGACAGGAGACAGGTGGGGAGAGTCTAAGAACACATCAACATACAATCATCAACTAACTAATAAATACAACCACCCCACAATACCCCAGAGACAACAATTTTAGCTTACATAAAGAAACAAGAGAGAATGGCTCAAACAAATGACCAAGATGTAGAGCCAGAAAACATTTCCAAGGAAGAAAAGATAATGGAACTAACTGAAAAAGAATTGTAAAGAATGCTATTTCATTACTGTCAAAGGATGGACAAAAAGATTGAGGAATGCAAAGAGAACACAGAAAAAACTTTTTAAGAATTTAGGAAAACACTACAAGAACAGACAAAATAAATGCAAATTCTGAAACAATAAAAAACCTGCAATTAGCAATCCAGATTAATACTGAGATTTCAGAAATGGACAATATATTGAAAGGGAAAAGGAGTAGATTCGAAGTAATGGAAGCCCACATTACTAAGCTTGAAGATAAATCTCTCAAGACTAGTAGTAAGCTAAGAAGAAGAATCAGAAAAAATATGAGTTATGCGAACACCATAAAGAGGAATAACTTACAGGTGACTGGAATTCAAGAACATGGACGAGACATCAAAAAGTACAGAGAAAATTGTCAAAGAATTGCTGGAAGAAAACTTTCCTAACATCATGAAAGACAAGAAGATAAGCATATAAGAAGCTGAACAAATCCCCAACAGGATAGATACCAAAAGAAAATTATCTAGACATATCATAATCCAGCTTTCCAAAATCAAAGATAAAAAAAGAATTCTAAGAGCAGTTTGGGAAAAGCAAAGTTACCCACTAAGAAGCAGCAATAAGACTAAGCTCTGATTTTTCAGCAGAAACCATGCAGGCAAGAAGACAATAGGATGACATATATAAAACCCTGAAAGTTAAAAACTGTCAACCAAGAATTAAAACTGCCCTTCAAATATGATGAGGGAAATTAGGGCATTTTCAGATAAACAGAATCTAAAGGTATTTGTAATAAGTAGTCCAACTTTACAAAAAATCCTAATGGGTGTTCTTTGGGCTGAGAATCAGAACTCAATCCAGATATATAAGGACTTAAAATAAAGCAAACCTACAACAAGACTGAAAACAGGGAACCAGAGATGTCAATTTATATTGAAGTCAACTATAAAGCATTGATGGACTCAAGTGTGGCAGCAGTAGTGAGGTTGGCTCAGGACTGGACAGTGTTTCGTTCTGCTGTGCATGGGGTCACTATGAGTCGGTTCCGACTCGATGGCACCTCACAACAACAACAAAGCAAAAAGAAGGAATCGTGATGATCCAGAACTTCCAAAAGACAAGGAAGTAAAATTCAAGATAAAACAGACTGCTTTAAATGGTGAAAAATATTAATAAATTACAGGGTAATTTCAAAGATTATATGAGACCTTCACATCAAAATGAAAAAGAGTAAAATCAGAAAGGTTTAGGAAACATTAACACAACAGAAATGAAAATGAGAAGAAAACCCACAAACAAAATGAATTCAGTGCAGATAATTATGTGGAACAAAGACACGAGCAGCACCACACACACAAACCACACAGCAAAATGACAGCAACCCATTCATTCCTATCAATAATTATACTGACTGTAAATGGATTAATGCACCAGTCAAGATACAGAAAGAGAATAGACAAGGAAACTGAATCTTCAGTATGCTGTCTACTAGAGACACAGCAAAAATATGGAGACAGCCTAAATGCCCATCAACAGAAGAATCGTTAAACAAGCTTTGGTACATACTCAAGATGGAATACTCTATAACATTAAATAACGAAGAATCTGCAAAACACCTGACAACATGAATGAGCCTGGAGGACATTATGCTGAGTGAAATCAGTCAATCACAAAAGGGCAAATATTATACGAGACCAGTGTAGCATAGTGGGTTACACACTGGGCTGCTAATTGCAAATTCAGCAGTTCGAATCTACCAGCTGCTCCATGGAATAAAGATGAGGCTTTCTGCCTCAGTAAAGATTTACAGCCTCGGAAACCCCACACTGGGTCATTATGAGTTGGAACCAACTCCAAGGCACATAGCCACCACCACTAATGTTGTAAAAAGTTAAGTACAGGTTTTCTTGATAAAAAAAAAACTATGATAATTACGGGGCATAGGGAGTAGGGAAAATTATTCAGGGACTACAAGTTAAACTCATGTGACAGGGCAGGCAATAAACAACAAGAGGGAGGTTAGCAGAGGAAAGATGAAGGGGAGACACGGGGGAATGCAACAGCTGAAGTGAATAGAGGTAAGTACTGCTAACTGTTGGTACTTGAAGGGGATTGCAATCATTGTAATAAAGCAAAGTGTATAATTTGTTGAATGTAAGACTGATGATCTACTCTACCAATCGTCACTCAATTCACAATGAAAAATTAAAAAAAGAAATGGAGTTTTACTAAACTTCCTGCTTGCTTAGGGAGGAGAAACAATGAAAGTTCAAATGGGAAAAGATTAAGTCAAGAACAAATTAAACTCAGATGAGTTTTTCTAACAGAATATGAGGAATTCAAACAGCCAAAGCAGTAGCTGACAACACCCTCTTAAAATCAGCATTTGGCACTTGCTGTTCAGTGGACCTTCTATTCCGAGAGGCTTCATTCCCCCAGCAGATACTTCACCAGACAGAAAAGGAAAGTCCACCCTGCCTGCCTCTCTGCCTGAAGTAAGGTTTGCTGGAGCTCTCTGGACAGAAGGTACCATCAGAAAAGAGCAGAACCACTTAAAATTTGTAGAGGGAAAACAAAGAGAAGAAATGAGCTATTAAGGAGGCCTTTTCTAGCAAGTGGATCCCTAGCCAGAACAGAATTAAGGCTACTGATGGCGATACAGAGGGAAGAGATGTGCCTGAGGTTACCCAGCAAGTCAACCCCTGACCTAGATTAGACCCTTCTCCGTTACCAATGTGCTGTTTAGATTTCTGGGCTATTCTGCCAGAAGACCCAATATAGGAATTTTGCAAGGAAGCAATGGTACAGAAAGTAAACGTCCAATTCTTCATTTCTACCCTACAACCCACTGACACCACACTCAAGAACATATCTTCATGACCCTACAATTTCTCTCTAAAGGAAAGGAATTTGAATTGTCTGACTGCCCAGATAATGGGATGTAAACAGTCATAAAATACATCACAGTACAGATGGACATTAATCTTTCTGAATAAGGAAATGTGCCTAGTGTACCATATTGTTGGAGGTCTCTAAAAACTCCATTTCTTATCTGTCTTCTTTCC